ATCCCCAGGTGAGCCAGAAAGAGAAGAGAAGCCGGGAGGGCATGAGTAGAAAGCCTGCGGGCAGGGGTCACTCTCCCGTTGCATGTTGTGCCTTAGGGTGTGCAGGGCTCAGAGCTAAGCACTCGGACACCTTATCGCGCTTAATCTTCACCGCACCCAGTGGGGAGAGGACCGTGGTTATTCCCAGTCTACAGATGCGGTGTCTGAGGCTCAGAGGCTTTCACCTGTCCAGAGCCACAGAGCCAAGCAAGAGAACTCCCCAGAGCTTGGGAAAGGGCTCATGCCAGGTCAGCGCTCCTTGCTGTCCTTCAGGTGATAAACCTGATGCGATTTGGGTGGCATTTCTCTTGAATTGCTTTAGATGCGAATCCTCTGGAATAAATATGCTTTATTAAGAGTTGAGAACCAAGGCTATGAAATCTTAAGCATGTTGAACCACTGCCATTCGCTGTGTCGCCCAGAGCTGGAAGGGGCCCAGTACCAGAAGCAGAGGCAGCCTCTCGGGAAGCTCAGCAGACACATTTCAGTTGAATACGGGAGAGGGGATACGTTCACGTTTGATGAAAGGCCACCGTTATTCTGAGACAACACAATGATCATTGGGAAAACCAAGGAAATTCCATGCAAGGGACGTTTTTGGAAATTAGAAGCCGCTTCTCCACCAATACCCTTGCCCAGAGACTGGAAGGAGAGCAGATGTGAGGAGGGTAGAGAGCATCCCCAGGCGCCCCCAGACTTGAGACCTTTGCTACCCCGCAGAGTGGGAAGGAAGGGGAGTTTTGCTACTTATTCATGCAAGCACCCGGAGAGGCTGCCGCAGGCAGGCACCGCCCTGCAGCCAGGACTTGACCGAGGACCGCCTGGGATGGAGCGTGACCGTTGATATGGGACGGACCCCAGATGTTAGAGGAATATCGTGCTTCCCTGAGATGTGAAGCCCCCGGATTTCATGGCTGGTGCTTCAGCTGCGCGCCAAAGACGGCCTTCTCTTGTTTCCCACCCTCAAGCCAGGCTTGGGGGTCTGAAGTCTAGGGTCTCCTTGGGGCAAGAGGTTTCCTCCAGGTTCCTTGCAAAGCTGGTTTGGAGGCTCCCTCCTCACCAGTGAGCCTTGAGTCCTTAGGGTGATGAGTCATCGTTCCAACACAGGAAGGTGGACATGGAAAATCCACTCTTCCAGTCTCGCCCACTCATGAAACAGTCTCCATCCCTGCAAGCTTTCAGAGCTGGAAACTCCTTTCCTTTCGAGGCCCTGTGGAGTTTTGTTTTCTGTCCTCCAAAATGCCATTCATGAATTTTTTTTTTATTGCAGCTAATAGTGTTTTATGTTTGTAGGTTGTATGCTAAGAAGAAAATCTTCCAGTTAACAAACACCTGTTGAGTACCACTGGGTAGGGGGTAGAAAAAGAGACTGTTCTGGCCTCAGTCACTCGACAGGTACTGTTCCAGAGTCTGGACTACTCAGGGGCTGTCCAGACATTGAGGGTCAACCATGCATCCTCAGTGAGGCAGTGCAAAAATTCATTCTTTTTATGTGTAAAGCACAGATATACACATCTACATAGACATGCAGACACACACACACACACACACACACACACACACACACACACACACACACTGTGCTTATCTGTAAAGGGTGGGCGAGATTAGGGGAAAATCCCTAAGAGTCTCCTTGGGTGGAGGCGGCACTGAAAAAAAGCTTGAGAAACACAGAGCTAGATCAATGAAGACACATAAAAACCCCTGCCTTCTTGGTGTAGTCTTGGGCTTTATTTTTTTTTGAGTTGGAGTCTCACTTTGTCGTCCAGGCTGGGGTGCAGTAGCACACTCACGGCCACTGCAGCCTCAACCTGCTGTGCTCAAGTGCTCCTTCCGCCTCAGCCTTCCAAGTAGCTGAAACTGCAGGCACACGCTACTACACCCAGCTAGTCTTTTGTGATTTATTGTAGAGATTTATTGTAGAGACGAGGTCTTGCCAAGTTTCCCAGGCTGGTCTCGAACCCCTGAGACTCAGGCAATCCTCTCACCTCGGCCTCCCAAAGTGCTGGGGTTACAGACTGAGCCACCGAGCCCAGCTGGGCCATTTTTAAAGAAGAAAAAGTAAATACAAGTAATGGCGAAATAATTCCTTTGTGCAGAGTGTTGTGAGGGCGAAGGCCTGTGGATGGAACTCAGGGGCACATTTCGCAGGGACCCCGCTCCAGGTCAAGCGCCCAGAGAGGCCACCCTGTGGAAGGAATGTTGAAACCCTGAGGTTGAGTGGCCAGAGCCCATGCCGACAGCTGTTTGAACAGCCACCGGGCCCGCCCTGATTGGTCTGCACCTGGGCGTCGCTGTTTTCAATGACTGGCTCCTCTCCTTCTTTCCTTCTAAGGTGAGGCTTGTGGTTCCAAACGCCAAGCGGAACCCAGAAGCCTCCCCTGCCCTTCCCACCTGCAATTATGCTTCGCATTCCCTGCCTCTCCCTCTTCCTCGGCTTGCCAGCCCAGCTGCCTTCTGCCGGACCCTCCCTCCCTCCAGAAAGAGCCAAAGCCGCATCCAAGGCGCTTCCCACCCCAGGCTCCTGGCCGCCTTGGGGGTGAGGGCCCTGGGGACCCTGGATTCTTTATTTCTAACAAGCTCCCTGGCTCCAGCTTGGGCAGCCAACTCCACACCGGGTCAGGGCACTGGCATTTGGAAGCCATCCAGAGTCAGCAATTTTATTGAAAATCAAATGAAAAGGAACAGAAAGGACGGGTTGTCCAGAGGGGGAGGCTTTTGATGGTGGCTGTCTGCTTTCTTTTTCCCCCTAGGCATTCTGACCTATGTTTACTTTGCAGGCTAGTGTAGAGATTTTAGTCTTTCTGCCCTGATAAGATCTTAAAAGGCAGAGTTTCAAAACTCGTCTAGGTCCCTGTTGACCACTAGCACAGGTCTCAGGAGATGATTCTGAAACTATCTTCAGGTAAAAAGAGCTTAAGGGATGGCCTAGCAGCCCCTTCCATTGAAGTCCTCCTAGAATCTCCTCCCAGCCCTCTGAGGAGCACAGAACGATATTCTGGTCCCTGTTTGACAGATGGGGAAACCGAGGGTCACATAGTAAGTGGCCGAGCTGAAATGACCATCCACCCAGCCCTCTGGCCCAGGTATATGTGCATACTGAAGGCTGGAGGCAAAGATCTGCAGGACATAGGACTGGCCACTTAAACGCTGTTGGAAAAAAACTTGCAATCAACCTACAAAGTGTATGGAATTGTGTGTGAGAGAGATTCTTGGTTGCAATTGACAGAAACCTACTCAGAAAAGGGGTGAAGGGAGCTTTTATAAGGATGTGAAAATGAGGCTGGGCATGGTGGTTCACACTATAAGCCCAGCACTTTGAAAAGCTGAGGTGGGAGGATTGCTTGAGTCCAAGATTTTGAGACAAGCCTGGGCAAGATAGCGAGACTTGTCTCTACAAAAAATTCCAAAAATTAGCCAGGCATGGTGGTATGCACCTGTAGTCCCAGTTACTCAGGAGGCTGAGGTGGAAGGATCACCTGAACCCAGAAGGTCAAAGCTACAGTGAGCTATGATCACGCCAGTGCACTCCAGCCTGGGTGACAGAGTGAAAACCTGACTCAAAAAATAATAATGATTATATATATAATTATTATAAGTAATTATGTGTGTGTGTGTATTAACCAAGCATGGTAGTGTTCACCTGTAGTTGCAGAACTCGAGAGGCTAAGGTGGGAGGATCACTTGAGCCCAGGAGTTTGAGACTGCAATGAGTTATGGTTGAGCCTCTGCACTCTAGCATGGGCAACAGAGTGAGATCCTGTCTCTAAAAAAAAAAGGAAGAAAAAGACACAGCATGAGGGTCTCATAAAAGTGAGAGGGAAGATTGTGAAGCTGTCAGATCCCAGGCACTGTCTCTTGCACACGCATGCACGTGTACACACATACATGTCCCCACGCGTGCCTGTGACCACTCGTCCTCTCTGTGCCTCTCAATCCCTCTGCTGATTCCTTCTCTCTCTAGTCACGTAACAGGCAAGGACAACCTCATAGTCCCCCAGTTCAAAGGATCAGCCTAGGGAGCAAGCGGCAGCTCAGAGCCCCTAATCCTAAATCCTGGGGGTGATCAGCTGGAAAGCCAGTTGTGCCAAGAGTCCAGTCAACTATGACGTGGGAGTAGGGTCATACATGTAACTGGCCATATACCCACTCCCGGGTGGTGGGACATGCTCACGGGGTTAGACAGATCCCCTGAACTATTCTGCATTTTTTTCCTTCTACGCCATCAGAGACATAAGACACATTCAATGCAGTAATAACCTTGGGAGAAACGCCATCTCAGTGAATGGCTTATCACAAGAAGCTCCTGGTTTCAAAACCATAAAATATGAAAATGTAGACTAGGAAAGCAAAATCTGTATATCGGGAAAGGTATACTCCAAAGCATTCATCAGGCCCATCTCTGGTAATAATAAATCATTGCAGCTCCTTTTGCGTGTGTGTGTGTGTGTGTGTGTGTGTGGGTGTGTGTGTGTGTGTGTGTGTGTGTATACATTGGCCAGGGTCTCACTCTGTTGCCCAGGTTGGAATACAGTGGCCCAATCACGTCTCACTGCAGCCTCAAACTCCTGGACTCAAGCGATCCTTCTGCCTCAGTCTCCCAAGTAGCTGGGACTACAGGCACGTGCCACCATGCCCGACTAATTTTTAGATTTTCTGTAGAGACAAGGTCTTGCTATGTTGCCTAGGCTGATTCAAACTCCTGAGCTGAAGTAACTCTCTTGCCTCAGCATCCCAAAATGCTGGGATTACAGGCCTGAACCATGGCACCTGGCCTATGTTTTCCTTTCTTTCTTTTTCTTTTTTTTTCTTCCTTCCTTCTTTCTTTCTTTTTCTTTCGTTCTTTACAAGAAACATTGTATTTTGTGTCCAAAAAAAGTAACAAAACCACTTGGGTGGAACATTTTGGGATCTTGCTGCAATTATAGGGTTTGTGTGTTTGTTCCTCTTGCTTGTTGAAGGTTGGATCCAGAAAAGCCACCCAAAAGATAGACCAAGACAGAGAGACGCTGAAGAAAGAAACATCCAGCAAGTCTTGCCAGAGCCTTTTGCTTTCAAAGTCTGGGGGAAGGAACTAGAGAAATGCTGTTCCACCAGGCCTTGCGTGATCCTCCGTAAGTCGGCTTGACTATTCTGTGCCTTCTGTGTCAAAATACAAGATGCATTTGTAGGACTTGAAAGAGTGTTACCCTGGCATTTTACTTTCTAGACTGGTATTTTGCACAATATTGTCTTTTGGAATGTGTGGGGACTAGGGTCCTTTTAAAAAAAAAAAAAAAACCTATAAATGTACACAGCCACAGGTAGAGAAAGAATATATGTTTGTAAGGCAGACTCCCCAGCCTGGTAGATGCGACTGGTTCCATGTTTGGGCCACAATGTCCTCAAAAGTCAGACTTCCAAAGAGCTCTAAAAGCCAAATAGTTAAGATAACCCAAGACTGCATACTGGTGCCACAGGGCAGAGTCATAACCTCAGGGCTGCTGGGGCCATGATCTAGTTTACTGTAATAAACTAGAACACCAACCCGTTTCATCACTTTCATAGTCATGACTAACATTCATGTGGCACCCCACCGTTCTCAAAACACTTCTCATGTAATCCTCCCCCAAACCCTGGGAGGTAAATAGTATTATGGTCCCCATTTTCCAGATAAGGAACCTGAGGTCCAGAGAAGTGAAATGGCCTGCCTAAAATCACTCATGTAGTAAACTCAAGAGTTGGGCCTTGAACCCAGGTTTTTAATTCTGTCTTGTACATTCTGCTACACTAGGATGGCCCAGTAGCTGCATTCCCAGAGCACAATGACACATTCGATTCTCAGTCACCAAAGAACACACACAGCCCAGGTAGACACACTTATTTTCACGGTATTTGGAGAGACCCCCGTTTTCCTTGCTCCACTCTCTACCTTCTCTCCATCCATCCAAGCTCTGGAGCCCCAGAGAGAGAGAGTGCAGCAGACACTGCTGAGTAGCAGATACAATGTCTACCTACAAAGTCACTTAGTCACTGGTTTCTTCTAGCATATAGGCTCTACAAAGTCACTGCTTAGTCACTGGTTTCTTCTAGCATATAGGGTCAAAGCTAACCATCTTGTTTTTTCTGCCTCCCTTGCAGCTAGGGCTGGCCGTGTTGTACAGATCCAGCCAATGGCATAAGTCAAAGCCTCTGGGGAGGGCTTCCCTTCTGGAATAAAAGACAAGCTTCACTAGAAGAAAGCATCCACCCCTGGTCCCTTGGCCTTGTCTTCTTTTTCACTCCTGGTGCACAGACTTGGAGCTGGAGCAGCCATCTTGGGGACCATCAGGCAGCAGCAAGAGGCCAAAGCCCACCTGTCAAGGACCATGGAGTGGAGAGACAAGAAGGCCTAGGTGGGTGCCTGGAGGCATCCCTGAGCTCTGAGCCATGACTGAACTGCCTACCTCTGTACTTCTTGTGTAAGACAAATAATCCCTATCTATTTAAGCCACTGTAGTCAGGTGTATATGTCTGTGCTGTGGAACAAACCACTCAAAACTTAGTGACTTAAAAATGACAAGTGTTTATTATCTCTTAGGATTTTGTGTGTCAAGTGAGGCAGGTTTCCAGTCTGGGCTGGCTTGACTGGGGCTAGGTGGTTAGAACAGCCTCTTTTACAAGTCTGGTCATTGGCAGGCAAGTTGAGTCAGGCAGGAGTTCCCAACTAGGAGCAATTTTGCCCCCCAGGAGACCTTTGGCAATGTCTGGACACAATTTTAGTTGTCACAGCCAGGGGTTGGGGCAGTGCTGCTTTTGTCTAGGAGAAGCCAAAGATACTGCTAATATCCTACAATACACAGAACAACTCGCTGCAACAAAGAAATCTTTGATCTAAAATGTCAATAGCACTGAGGCTGAGAAACCCAGACTAGAGGGGCCTTCCACGGGACAGCTGTCTCTGCTCAGCCCACCCACTATCACCCAGCAGGCCAGACCAGGCACATTCACATGGTGGCGGTCACCAGTTTCCAAGAGCAGCTGATGAGAACAAGCCCCAATGCACAAGCACTTTTCAAGTCTCTACCTGCCTTGTGTTTGTTAATATCCCATCAGTTAAGGCCAGAGTCCATGTGGGAGGGGCTCCACATCTTCACAGTCTGCCCACATCAGGTTTTCTGTTATTTGAAGCTGAGAATGTTTCCAACTGACGCAGAAGGAGAAAGTTACCTGGATTTCCAATGTCTTTCTGATTCCTAGTTCCTTCCAGTGTCTGCCCTTGGGTTCCACTGGGACCCTCTGTGTCACTCAAGATGCCTTGGCTAATTTAAACAGAAAAGAGAGTTTACTGAAAGGAAATGAGAAAGGTTAGAGAATCAGTGATTAAGCAAATCTGGAGAGTCAGGCTGGGACAGCCAGGAACCGGCTTTTCATCCCCATGGATGCCCTCTTCTTTCTTCAGTTGGTTTGAGTTTCTGTTATTTGCAACCAAGTTGGCATTTACTAAGATGCTCTGCTACATGATCTTCATGGGTAATTCTGAGAAGCTTCCAGCAACCTTTCCTTTAGGGGTTGTACCAAGGTCCAACAAGTTACCTGTACATCCCCAAACCTACCAAGATCTTTCCAATCCTCCAAGCAGCCAAGACAAACAACTTCCTTCTGTCTTGCCAATGGTAACCCATTCGGATTCTTGGATTCGTGACTTTGCAGATAAGGTGCCCTTCTCTTGAAACTTGGCAGCGTCACCAGTGCCTGCTGTTGTAGAAACCAGAGTCATGAAATGTCTAGGAGGAAAAAATAGCTTTGGGATCTGCATTCCAAAGCATGCTCCTGGTAAATGGAGTGGTTTCCAAATTCTAGGGACTTAGGAATGAAAGCAATACCCTGACAATGAGAGAACACGCAGACCTGGGGGGCTCACACATCTCTCTTTCACGCTGAGGCCTTCTAAAGCAGGAGTCGGGGCACCCAGGGAGGGTAGACTATTTCGGCTTATCAGCTTGGCCTCATTTCCATAGAGATGTGCTGCTTGCATTCATCTGCTCAGTGTCCCAAGTTATTTTGGGCCAATTCATGACCTTATGTGCCTGCTTTTGTTTTTCTAAACATTTCTCATTGTCCATCTGTTCCCCAGGAATCCATCGCAATGTCTCTGTCCTGTGGTGGGAAGCATTCACGGGTTCCTTGTTTTGAGTTTCTTGTCATCTTTGGCATTGTTTTCCTTCCTAAGACCCTAAAATATTGGAAACAGAAATCTTCTCTTCTGGCTAACTGTGGTCTTACCATCAGAGAGATCAGAGGTGCCCTTTGGCTGCCAAATCACTTTTATGTTAGACAACCAACTTTCGTTCACCCAGGCAACAAATACTTCATTCAGGGCCTACTATGTGCCAGGTACTGATACTACTGCACCAGACCTCATGGCCTTGACCTTGCTTCCTTTTCACACTCTGATCTACTGCTTTAACTTAAAGAGAGACAGAGTCATTCATTAACTGGGTACATCGCATGGGAGTGCTCACTGTTGACATCCACATTTCTTTTGTGACTGGGTGCAGGATGACTGCTGGGCATTCTTTAAACAGAGCTGCATGCAGCAGTGACCTCTACCAGGCATTTCTTTCAACAGTTGAAGTTTAATAGCTAATAATAGTAACGTCTTTGTTTAGTGTCCTTACTAGCCATCCAACACTGTGCCCAGCACGGTTCAGACGTTATCTCACTTAGTCCTCACAGTATCACCACTCCTGTGTTACCTGTGAAAATGATGAGTCTGGATTAAATCACTTGCCCAAGGTCACTGAGCAAGTGTCGGAGCCCAGCCTTTATACCCTTAGCTGCTTCATGTATCACTTTCCTGAGTGAAGTCCAGGAAGCTGCTGGTTGTCTGCTAATTGATGAGGACAGGCTCAGGTCATTAGTGATGCTGGAGCTGAGAAACTTTTCCTGTAAAGGGCAGATAGTAAAAGCCCTTTTGATGTAAAGGACCACTACACTTTATCGACCATCCGTCTCAACTCTGCCGTTGCAGCATGTTTTGTAAATAAACGAGCATGACAGTGTTCCAATAAAACTTTATTTAAAAATAGTGGGCCAGATTTGCTGACCCCTGTGTTAAACTGCCACCCAGACTAGATGATTGATATCTGCACGGCTGTTACTGGCCCTATGGCTACAAGAAACCAGATTATTGTCATCTTCATCATCAAGAGCATTTTGAGCTTTTACTACGTGCCACACACTGTGCTCAACACATTATATAAATTTTCTTATTTAGCCCTCTCAGGTATTCCAAGAGGAGATAGGTATCCCATGTTACAGGCAATGCAGCTAAGGCCAGAAAGGTAAAGTAGCTTGTCCAAGATCACCTCACCAGGATTTCCAAGCCCAGTTCCTAACCATTATGCCACTTGGAGTTGCTTTTTCCTATTCTCACCCTCAACAACAACACAGAAAACTCCTGTAACCAAATGTGTGGGAGTTTCCACACCCACAAGCAAGTGACCAGTTCTGCCACGGACACCCGCCGACTTCCTCCAGTTCCATTCCGACACTATCTTCCTGGAGGCAGCATCTGCTCCTATAGCCTAAACCTCCATCCCCAAGACTGCCCCTCCCTTCAGACTCCAGTCCCAAGTCCAGGCCTCCAGAACTTCTGACCCTACTGGCATCAAGTTGGGGCTCCTACAACCCCTCTTCAAGTTAGATTAACTTGCTGGAGCAGCTCACGGAGCACAGGAAAACAGGTTTAGCTTGTAATAAAGGACATTACAAAGGATATAGATAAAGAGATGCGGGGAGGGGTGCAGAGCTGCCATGTCCTCTCCGGGCAGGCCATCCTCCAGGGAGCTCCACCCGTCCTGCTTTCCAGAAACTTCTGAACCCATCCTCTTGGGCCTTTTATAGAGACACCATTAGACACACATGATCGGAGCATGGCAATCGTGTTGAATTGGGATTGAACCAAAAGGGTGTGATCTAAACCCAGGAAGTCCTGTCTGCTCAGACTCATCTTCGCCTCTCCATGGCATTCCTTCCCCCAGGGAGTGGGGCAGGACCCTCCCTGGAATGAGGATCTTACAACCCGCAATCAGATTAGAGTCCTGCTGTTGGCGGG